ACTAACTGCCCCACGCCCAGAACAGAAATTGAACATCCTTGTGTTACACCTCTAAAACGTAGGTACCATCTAATACTCTTTTTATTCTTCTGATGACTCCATACATACAGTTGTACTGAAATATCTACATACCACTGCTGCAGCCTGCAGGATGATGGCCTTACAGAAGCCTATGAAAAAGGCACAGTCATCAGAATGAAGACACTGTATCTTGAACAGGTTACTTTCAGAAGGAAGGAGGCAGAAAACTGTACTCTATGTAAAAGTGCATGTATTCCTTATCAAAATGTGGCGACCTTTCTTCTTCCATCTTTGCAATCTACAGCTTTTGCTGTTGAATAGAAAAGCTTTTTTTTTCCCAAGGATATTCTTTTAACTGGCTACAGAAAAACAACATATGTGCTATATGAAATCTGTTTCACTATATAAAAAAAAAAACAAAAAAAAAAAAACAGATGGCAATCACTCATATACATATCTGTAAATACGGTCCCAAAAGAGTGTATTCAAAGCATAGGTATAGACAGTGTCTTGATATTTGATTAAAATGTTTCTCAATGTAATACGAAGATTATTATAGGATAAGTTCACCTTTCATAACATGTCCCCCCCCCCATCCCCATTGTGACAGCTAGTGGGGAATCTTCTCATCCCAATAGCTGTTACAATTTTTAAAAACAGTGTTCTGTGAATGAGAAAACTACAAGTCCCAGCAACCTTTGCAGCTATTTGCTTGTAGTTCTCAATGAACTTCCACAGCTCTGTAAGTGCTGTGGTAGTTCCTGAAGTCTTCCTGTCAGTATCGGCTTCTTCTGCAGGAGACCTGCATGGCATTATCAATCTGCTGATTGCTGGTGCAATGCTTTTACAGGCTCCAAAAATAAAAAATAGTAAATGCACATGTTTTTACCTACAAAAAAATGTGCATTTATTATTTTGCTGAAAGGTGAACTTATCCTTTAATTATGCCAATTATTTTAGCATAATAGTGTAATAACATGACTGTACACAATGTTACACAGTTTCTAACTATAACCTGACTAATTCCATGTTGGCACCACACTTCACATATTATAGTGTGGGCAGGGCCATGTATAGAAACATAACAGACAGTGTTTTTGAAGGTGAACTCCAGGCCAAAATAAAAGACACACATATTTGAAGTTCTGTGTTCATGTATACATCCATAATGTATATATTTTTCTGTTTCAATATTTTTATTGAGTTTTCAAATGGTAATGGAGCAGTACAGAATTCCCAAATCATTTGCCTAAGTAAATTGTCTACACAGTCAAAATGTATACATTGGCAACAACAAGTGAACATCAAAAAGGAGTACTATGAAAAAAAAAAAGGGGTTCAGCTAGAAACCCATAAAGAGTCCTTATGTATGCATGAGGAATTACATCAAAGTAATCAATGACAAAGAGTTCTGTGTAACATTGTATAAACTGTATTCCAGAAGCAATTTCACCCAATAAGAAATCTAGATACAGGTCAACAGTGTCTGCCCAGCAGGGAGAACGGGCAAGGTTTCACCCATCCACTCTACCGACTGGGCAGATAAAAAACTGTCATGGTATGCAGTTGACCATAATCAATATAGGAACCATTATAGCGTTTAAAGCGATTCTAAAGGCTTAGAACAAACATGTCTATACTTACCTGCTGTGTACAATGGTTTTACACAAAGCAGCACGGATCTTCCTCTTCTCCACTTTTCCACTGGAGCCCCTGGCCCCTCCCTCCTGCCGGGTGCCCTCCACAGAGAGCACCCAACACACGGAGCCGTGGCTTGGCCCCACCCCCTCTCTTCGCATTGGCTCACTGGCTGTGATTGAAAGCAGTGGGAATTAATGGCTCCCGCTGCTGTCTCATGCAAGGAGAAGAGGAAGTGCTGGGACAGCCTGGACTCCAGTGCACATCATTGGATCGAGAAGGAGGCCTAGGAGAGTATTATATGGGGCTGGGGGGGATGCTGCACAGAGAAGGTTTTTTACCTTCATGCATACGAGCTTTTAGAACCACTTTAACAGCAGACTTTCCAAAAAAGGAAAGTAGAAATATACAGTTAGATGGTTAAAATATATCATCTTCATATCCTCATGGAGGATAAAACACATATACAGTCTAGACTAGAATCTTTAACCTCAATTAAAGGTCCAAAAAGCAGACCAAGTTTGCTGAAAAAAACCTGTTTACATAGCTCAAGCTATGATTATTTCCATATAGAAAAACACTTTAACAAGTATTTAAGTGGCGCATAATCAATATTCTGTCCAAAAGAACACTAAAAATGTATAAAAGTGAATGAAAATATTCAACACACACACAAAAAAAAATTAATTTATATGTTATAATTAAACATTAATTATGTATAATCCAAAAAGTCCAAATAAATCAGTCCAAAAGATCACCACGTGAAAAAATCTTGTGCAAAATAAGTGAATGTGTGAAGTGCCCCCCTCTCAGGTGTGCACTCACCAGCAAGTGTTGCCTCCCACTCTCATGGTTGGCAAACTAGGCTTTAACAGACAATTTTCAAGTGATGAATCAGACCACTACGTTTTTTAATCTCCTTTTATCTTGAAAAAACAGAATCCCAAGACAGGTACTCTTGAATTCCAGTATTCAAATTTAGGAAGTGACGATCAATGACTCCTTTCTCCTCCTAATACTCCATACTCAAATGACAAAAACCAGCGCTCAAATATTCATGCTGCACAGAATAATGGAATCTAGCACACGTTGGGGTGCCGCCCTTGGTAGAACAGGGGATCTTGACAAAACCAAAACAGGTCATAAAACACAGAGACAAAGATGACAATCGCGGACAGCGGAGGTCCTTGGGTGAAAAGTGAAGATTTGAGCGCTGATTTTTGTCATTTGAGTATGGAGTATTAGGAGGAGAAAGGAGTCCTTGATCTTCACTTCCTAAATTTGAATACTGGAATTCAAGAGTACCTGTCTTGGGATTCTGTTTTTTCAAGATAAAAGGAGAATAAAATACCATAGTGGTCTGATTTATCTCTTGAAAATCGTCTGTTAAAGCCTAGTTTGCCAACCAGGAGAGTGGGAAGCAACACTTGCTGGTGAGTGCACACCTGAGAGGGGGGCACTTCACACATATATATTTATTCACTTATTTTGCACAAGATTTTTTCACGTGGTGATCTTCTTTTGGACTGATTTATTTGGACTTTTTTTGGATTATACACAATTAATTTTTAATTATAACAAATTATTTTTTTGTGTGTGTTGAATATTTTCATTCACCTTTAAACATTTTTACTGTTCTTTTGCACAGAATATTGATATGCTCCACTTAAATACTTGTTAAAGTTTTTTTTATATGATTTATTTATTTTTAAAGTGGCAGCGTAGTTTATGTGGTTATACACAGTTATCATTTATTTAACAGCGATATTTATCACTTGTTTATATATTCAGCGCAGTTGTTGGTCATATACCTTCATCACTCTTATATTATGATTATTTACATGCAAAAAAAGGAATACAACATACATTTAAAAACATATAAACACAAAACAGTAAAATAAAATTGATCCCAAACCATGCGTACTTTAGAAGCATGAATTATTTTAGAACCATAAATCCATATAGTGAATGGTTACCAATTACAAGTAGAGGCTTGAACTGGACAACAAATATGTTAAATCAGATTTGCAAAAGTAACGTCAAACATAGTACAAACAAAAATGGGAGATGTAAATAATAAGGTGGTATGGTTGGTTTACCGATATGTACAGTATGTAGGTCACATGAATTAGCAAAAGTGGAGCCTTCAAAGAACACAAAATTAGGGCAAAAATGGAATAACAGGTCCCAGGGCACCAAAACAGTCTCCAAAAATGATGTTATTATTCATCTAGACTGTCAAACTTCTAAGATGCAGAACGTGACATGACAGGGTTGCAAAATGAATTAAGATTTTTTTTTAATGTCTTGTAGAATATGATATAAGAGCCTTTAAAGGGAATTGCAATGAAATGAAATAACTTTACCTAAAAATAATAAATGCAGATCAAAAGGAGTACTATTTATATTACATGAATTATTTTAGTAACCTCTTGTATTAATGAACTACTTTTGGACAGCTCCAAAAATATGGTATTTTATTTATCTTAAAGTGAACTAAAATAGCTGGCAAAATTAGCAGTTTGCTTACCAGCATATAACACAATAAGCACATAAGTACTATTGGTATGGACAACCACTTTCTAGACACTTCCAAAGAAATAAACCTGTGTTTTAAACAGTAAGGTAAAGTTTTTGTTTCCAGATTATCTTGTGTTTGTAGTTTTGGAACGGATATATGAGGTTACTTATTGACATCAGGGATGAAGAAATCATTTGAAAAAAATACGAGCCAAAATTAAGGCTGAAACTACTAATCAACATAATTGATTATAACTGATAATAAAAATAGATGTCAACAATTTTCATTATCGATTAGTTGGTCAGCCAGTTAGTTGGCCTGCGTACAGAATGCATTATTTGTTTACATGTCAGTACAAACAGTGCAGCACACATACAAAATCAGTACACAGCCATTGACTCCTGCTGCTATCAATCACAGCCTGTGAGGAAGGATAAGGGGCTGCACTGTGTGTGTCAACAGAAACACACACTATGGCTAGGGATTGAGCCCACACGAGTGCTCCCTTAGTGAGCAGAATGAACTCTGAAGGTAGCAGCCAGAAGCGCTAGCAGGGGATCCCAGAAGAGGAGGAGGATCTTCGTACAAAACCACTGCAAAGAGCAGGTAAGTATAACATGTTTAGTATTTAAAAAAAAAAACACTTTAAGGGCTCTGTGCAGAGAAGATCAGCATCTGAAAACAGAGAAGCTGGAGGTTGATAGACTGGAGGTAAATTAAAGCGGAGTTCCACTCACGCTGTCAAACAATAAAAGTCAGCACCTACAAAAACTGTAGCTGCTGACTTTTAAAAAAACAGCCACTTACCTGTCCCTTGGTCCTGCCATGTGTCCCCTGCAGCCTGTTTCACCGGCCGTCTTGTATTCCAGGAGGCCGGCATCCTCAGTGTCGGCACCCAGCTGGGATAGATTGCGGCTTCACAGCCGGGTACCCACTGCGCATGTGCGAGTAGCGTTGCGCTTCATGAATGGTCCGGTAGTCTTCTGGGACCTGTCAAGTGTCCCAAAAAAACTACAGAGAGGGAGGGAGGGAGGACACCTTCCGCTTCTGATCGCTTAGATGATTGCACTGGAAGTGGGAGCGGGTACCTGTCAAATTAGGGTACCTGCTCCGCCCCCCAAAGGTGCAAATCCTTAATGGGGAACGGGGGAGCAGTCCTTAAAGCGGAACTTCCCCTTTTGGGTGGAGCCCCGCTTTAAGGCATTAGAATTAAATTTAAAGTAAGAGTTTACCAGTGTTGTGTATTTTGTATATATTTTTTTTTATCAAAGCAAAAAAGTCTCAGCATTTAGCAATACTTTAACCACTTCAAGTCCAGACACTTTTACCCCCTTCCTGTCCAGACCAATTTTCAGCTTTCAGTTCTATCACACTTTGAATGACAATTGCGCGGTCATACAACACTGTACCCATATGAAGTTTTTAGCATTTTTTTGAGACAGATAAAGCTTTATTTTGGTGGTATTTATTCACCACTGGGATTTTTATTTTTTTTGCTATGTAAATGAAAAAGTCCAAAAATTTTGAAAAAAAGTGTTCTTATAAAATTTTGCAAATAAATAATATTTCATCATAAATCTTGGCCAAAATTTACTACGTTATCTTTTTAGTAAAAAAAAAAAAAAACCCAAAAAAAGTTCATAACCAAAAATTATAATTTTTTATTTTTTTATATTATTATTTATATATATATTTTTTTTTTACATACTGTCACCCTAGCAGTAGTGTCACCATGGTGACACTGTACTACTTGTGGGGGGTGATGAAGATTTTTTTTTTTTACACCGATTGCTTTTACACCCATAAAGGCTGTAAAAGCAATCATTTCTCCTTCTCTCTGGCTGCATTCTTGCAGCCATTGAGAACTACTGTGTGAGCTGTGATTGGTCACAGCTTGTCACATGGTACAAGGGTGTTATGAATAGCCTTGTACCATGTGACCTCTGTGATCATTCACAGATTTCACACGTAGTAAGCAATGATGTCAGAAGTGACATCTTTCTTACTACTCTGCATGAGAACACTGATTGGCAAATCAGTGATCAGATGATCGGGACCTCGCACAGAGGTCCCGTACGATGATCGGTGTTCCACTGTGCCTGGAGGACACAGCGGGCACTGGATCGCGGTGCTGCGCGTTCCCAGGGAGCGCGCACAAGAAGGGGACGGGGAGTCCGTTTATAAATGGCCACCGGACCCTGCACTGCCACCGTCCGGCCATTTATATACAACGGCCGGTCGGGAGGTGGTTAATAAGTTTAAAAAGATTCATATCCTCCTTCCACCCTTCATGCCTAACTTATATACTAATTATAGGTATATTTATTATTATACAGTGTATATATTCCTGTATCTGTGTGTAGAGATATATGTATAATCTCCGCCTGACGACCAGCGATGTGCCCATACGTCGCTGGACTTCAAGTGGTTATACCGGAATGATGCCCACAGCTGCAGCCATCATCCTGGTACTGTATTTTTAGAGCCGATGGTTGGCTCTCTTGTAAAAGCAATCCTAGTGGCCTTCCGTGGCTTTAATGGACTGTCGCACCCGAGTGGCTGGCGCTTCTGCTGGCTGATAATACAGGTGGACAAAGACTGGAACCGCTCTGGTTGCCTCTAAGATATCATCAGGAACCAGAAGCGATGACCCCAGATCTTTTCATAAAGAGTACCTGTCACATGCCTATTTCTGTCACAATGTTTACATTCCTTGTGACAGCAAAAGTGATTAAAAAAATTAAAGTGACAGTGTAAAAATAAAAATACAATTTTAAAAAAGTTTTAAAGTGCCCCATCCCCCCAAGGCAAATGCACACGTTGGTTCTACGTGAGGTATCAACGTGAACATCAGATCATGGCCAGTATTTTTTATTTTTTTTCTAACAGTTGTATTTATTGAAATCGTACAAAGAGTATAAACAATCTAAGGTACATAAGAACAGTGAGCACATAAGGAGCAGTGAGTCGGATCCTTTCTCGACTCACCACTATTACCGCTTGAAGCATGTCTGAGAGCAGAGTTCCTGTTTCAAGTAGTGCGTTAAAAAGTGTTTGAAAACGGGGAGCCATTTGTTCATTGTGCTGTATATTTATAGAATTCAATTGGAAAGCCATCCAGACCCGGCATTTTGCCAGATTGCAGAGCGCCAATTGCCTGCTGGAACTCCTCCAAGGAAATCGGTGCCTCCAACTGCTCCTTCTGTACCAGGGAGAGAGACGGCAGGTCAACATGATCCAAATAACAGGACAAATCCAGGCAGCCCTGGAGGAATATAAACTCATTTAATAGTTGGCAAAACAACAGTTAATAGAGATTGGATCAAGGATCCTAGAATTGTCTTCAGCCTGTATAAGGGCAATATTGGATAGGGCAGATTGTTCCCTAGCCAACCAAGCCAGTAGGCGGCCCGCTTTATCTCCCTGTTCAAAAATATGTTGTCTTTGATGGAGCATCGCCTTCCTGGAGGCCTCCGTGTATAACAATAAAGCTTCCCTGGTAGCTAGTTGTAAGTCATGGTGACTAATAGGATCTGGGTTGAGCACATAATTGGATTCAGCTTCCTGCACCCTTCATTCAACCACATCCACTTCCTCTCGCTGTCTAACCTGCAGCCCCCCAATCAGGGTCTATACTGACCCCTCCAAACCTCCCAGGTAGTAGTAGTGGGCACAGCAGTATTCTCATTAGAGTCCCAATATTGCTCCAGTGCCTTCCCTATAGGGGGTTCCACATCAAGATCTGTAATCCAATACCGAGATAGCCTCCAAACTTTTTTCCCTGGGGCATCACTAATACTTAATCTAAGAAGGAGTGGAGCAAGATCAGAAATCCTTCGTGGAAGGATAGAAATCTTCCGCACCCTTGCTAAAAGTGCAGGTGTAACATAACAAAGATTAATTCTAGACATTGTTTTGTGTGATGTTGAGTGACAGGTATAGGCCCTGGTCCCAGGATTTTTCCACCTCCACACATCCCTGAACTGGTAAAGCTCCGCCCACTTGGCCAACTCCACTCTGGCGCCAGGATATAATTTATCAACACTAGGGTCCGAAGTAAGATTAAAATCACAAGCAAGAAGAACATGGGATGTGGGATATGAGGCCAGGAGTGAGGCTAAGGCAGCCAACGAGCGTGCAGAAGCAGGAGGCGGAAAATAGAGCCCAACATTTACCATTTCAAAGCAGTTACGCATCGCATGAATCATAACATATTTACCCTCGGGATCCAGCCTGAGATGAAGAAGAGTAAATGGCAACAATTTGTGTATAAGGACACTAACACCTCAAGCATATGAAGAGTAAGTGTGATATTATAATAATGACCTATCCAAGCTTTCCTTAAGCCCAATACCCTACGGCCCGTTAGATGGGTTTCTTGCAAAATACAAATATGTGGATTATAGGATTTGAGAAATTGGAAGACCAAGGAGCGCTTTATGGAAGATAAATATAAATTAAACTCTATATATCCCTACGAAAAGTATCACTCTCACCCTCGAAAGTGTAAATAAAATAAAATAAATAGTATCTTTTCAATATTTCCTCTATCACACTCCCAACAATTACCCTCATAAATAGTGCAAAATCATGTATAAACAAATGTCCACATATGAGTCCATATACAGTGCTTCTGCTTTCAAACGTTGAGAACTAATCCACTTCGCTGCTCTTCAATCCAAGACACCCAAATCAGGATACCTCAAAAAAAATATAAACTAAATATAGTGCATTATCTTTTAAACAAAAAACACTCATGAAACTAAAAGTGATTCCTCCTAAACTCCCACCCGTGACAAATCAACACTTCAAATTGTGATTCAGTGCAACACTCCACAGCCAGTGTCACCATCCAAATGTAATAAATACCATTACCTTCTCATGGATGATAGGAACTACTAGTGATCACATGCATCAAAATGAGTAGTGCCATAACTCTTGTGGGATAAAATACCATTACCCTCTTTCAATGCATATAAGCATAAAACTCCTCCAAGGCAATCCAAATTATCCCCCTCTCCGGAAGCTCCCTGCTGCTTCCAATCCGACCTTCCCCGTTCCTCAAAGGGGCAGATAATATAAGACTCAGTGGAGTATATAAAAGGAATTCATATATTTATTCAAAGCTTACATTAGAAGAGACGCCAACGTCCATCCTCTCCACACAGTCCATATAACTGAACTCCAGTGTCCAAGATGGCCGTGCCGCTCCTTCCTGTTTGAAGTTCTAGCGTTACGTCCTTATGGACTGACGCGTTTCGTCACTTCCGACTTTTTCACAAGGGTCTTTGTGAAACCCTTGTGAAAAAGCCGGAAGTGACGAAACGCGTCAAGTACGTAAGGACGTAACGCTAGCACTTCGAACCGGAAGGATCGGCACGGCCACCTTGGACACTGGAGTTCAGTTATATGGACTGTGGGAGAGGATGGACGTTGGCGTCTTTCTAATGTAAGCTTTGAATAAATATATGAATTCCTTTTATATACTCCACTGAGTCTTATATTATCTGCCCCTTTGAGGAACGGGGAAGGTCGGATTGGAAGCAGCAGGGAGCTTCCGGAGAGGGGGATATTTTGGATTGCCTTGGAGGAGTTTTATGCTTATCTGCATTGAAAGAGGGTAATGGTATTTTATCCCACAAGAGTTATGGCACTACTCATTTTGATGCATGTGATCACTAGTAGTTCCTATCATCCATGAGAAGGTAATGGTATTTATTACATTTGGATGGTGACACTGGCTGTGGAGTGTTGCACTGAATCACAATTTGAAGTGTTGATTTGTCACGGGTGGGAGTTTAGGAGGAATCACTTTTAGTTTCATGAGTGTTTTTTGTTTAAAAGATAATGCACTATATTTAGTTTATATTTTTTTTTTTTTGAGGTATCCTGATTTGGGTGTCTTGGATTGAAGAGCAGCGAAGTGGATTAGTTCTCAACGTTTGAAAAGCACTGTATATGGACTCATATGTGGACATTTGTTTATACATGATTTTGCACTATTTATGAGGGTGTGGTCTTTGTGAAACCCTTGTGAAAAAGTCGGAAGTGACGAAACGCGTCAAGTACGTAAGGACGTAACGCTAGAACTTCAAACCGGAAGGAGCAGCACGGCCACCTTGGACACTGGAGTTCAGTTATATGGACTGTGGGAGAGGATGGACGTTGGCGTCTTTCTAATGTAAGCTTTGAATAAATATATGAATTCCTTTTATATACTCCACTGAGTCTTATATTATCTGCCCCTTTGAGGAACGGGGAAGGTCGGATTGGAAGCAGCAGGGAGCTTCCGGAGAGGGGGATATTTTGGATTGCCTTGGAGGAGTTTTATGCTTATCTGCATTGAAAGAGGGTAATGGTATTTTATCCCACAAGAGTTATGGCACTACTCATTTTGATGCATGTGATCACTAGTAGTTCCTATCATCCATGAGAGGGTAATGGTATTTATTACATTTGGATGGTGACACTGGCTGTGGAGTGCTGCACTGAATCACAATTTGAAGTGTTGATTTGTCACGGGTGGGAGTTTAGGAGGAATCACTTTTAGTTTCACGAGTGTTTTTTGTTTAAAAGATAATGCACTATATTTAGTTTATATTTTTTTTTTTTTGAGGTATCCTGATTTGGGTGTCTTGGATTGAAGAGCAGCGAAGTGGATTAGTTCTCAACGTTTGAAAAGCACTGTATATGGACTCATATGTGGACATTTGTTTATACATGATTTTGCACTATTTATGAGGGTAATTGTTGGGAGTGTGATAGAGGGAATATTGAAAAGATACTATTTATTTTATTTTGCTTTATGGAAGAATTGGGGCCCCGCATGTTCCAGGAGACACATTTCAAATCAGGGGGCGCCATAAAATAAGTATTTGAGAGCTAAGTTGTGACTACTTAGACTGAACCCCGGAAAGAAAACATAGAACAGTAAAACAGGCATCAGAAGGACCAGTATATTAGCTCGACACCTTGCAACAGAGAAAAAGGACTGAAAACTCCCCAAAAACATAGCAACCATAGCCTCCCCACCCAAACCAAGAGAGTCGGGCAGTATTTCTAGCACCAGACCGCCTCTGTAAATCTAAAGTGATAACATGTAAAGGGTTTTAAAGCATCAACTACTATAAAATTTACATCATTTGTCGCCGTTGCACGGGCGTATGTGACTTTAAAGCGTGACATGTCTGATATCTTTTTACTCGGCGTAACATCGTATTTTATATATTTTACCAAAAATTGGGTTGTACTGTGTTTGTAAGAAAATATCATGTTTGGGGTTCCTAGGAAATTTTCTAGCAAAAACTACTGATTGTTACATGCAAACAAAAAGTGGTTACATATGATATACAAAAAGTTACAGATATATCTGCTTTCACTGTTTCACAGTATAAATTATCCCCTTATAGTGGTGATTATCTGCAGCTGAGAGGCAGATATTTGATTTTGTACTAAAAAGAGATACATTTTTGTTTCTTAACCCCATCATAACAGGTGATACAAAAAGCATGCTGCTGCTACTAAGTGTCTAGGTGAAAGCAAGCAAAGGTAGCTTGCATCAAACTGCCTGCCTATGAAAAGGGAATCTGTCGTGCATAATATTATATTAGCATTAGATACCGTATTTTTCGCTCCATAAGACGCACCTGACCATAAGACGCACCTAGATTTTAGAGGTGAAAAACAAGAAAAAAAAAAAATATTCTGAACCAATGGACTGCAGACACAGTACAGGGGATGACCAGAGACTCCGGACACAGTACAGGAGATGACCAGAGACTGCGGACACAGTACAGGAGATGACCAGAGACTGCGGACACAGTATAGGAGATGACCAGAGACTGCGGACACAGTGCAGGAGATGACCAGAGACTGCGGACACAGTGCAGGGGATGACCAGAGACTGCGGACACAGTGCAGGGGGATGACCAGAGACTGCGGACACAGTGCAGGAGATGACCAGAGACTGCGGACACAGTGCAGGAGATGACCAGAGACTGCGGACAGTGCAGGGGATGACCAGAGACTGCGGACACAGTGCAGGGGATGACCAGAGGCTGCGGACAGTGCAGGGGATGACCAGAGACTGTGGACAGTGCAGGGAATGACCAGAGACTGCGGACAGTGCAGGGAATGACCAAAGACTGCGGACAGTGCAGGGAATGACCAGAGACTGCGGACAGTGCAGGGAATGACCAGAGACTGCGGACAGTGCAGGGAAAATGACCAGAGACTGCGGACAGTGCAGGGAATGACCAGAGACTGCGGACAGTGCAGGGAATGACCAGAGACTGCGGACAGTGCAGGGAATGACCAGAGACTGCGGACAGTGGCAGGGAATGACCAAAGACTGCAGACAGTGAAGGGAATGACCAGAGACTGCTGACCTTTGGGGAGGGAGGGGGAGCGGGTACCTGAATTTGACAGGTACCTGCTCCCACTTCCGCGGAGTTGTCCTTCCCTCTTCTTTCCGGGCCGGCTTCTGTGACAGCCGGGTGCCCACTGCGCATGTGCGAGAAGCGCTGCTCTTTGTGAATGGCCCGGCGCCTTCTGGGGACCTTTCATGTGTCCCAGAAGACACCGGATCATTCACAAAGCGCAGCACATGCGCAGTGGGCACCCAGCTGTCACAGAAGCCAGCGCGGGAAGACTGTGCAGCGCTGGAGCGAGGAACAGGTAAGGCCCTGGCAGGAGACAACAGCTGAGCGGCCCGGCCCGGTATTCTGACATGGTGGCCGCAAAAATACCGGACCGGCCGCTTTATATTTGCTCCAATAAGACGCACTGACATTTTTCCCCCCCCATTTTTGGGGGAAAAAAAGTGCGTCTTATGGAGCGAAAAATACGGTATTTTTTATTTTTTCTTTGAATAAAATTTTGATCTCTGATGACATGTACCAGATTCAACCTGTATAAGTATATATACTGTATCTCTTCTGTTATACTGAGAGCACATTAGATACAGTGGATATAAAAAGTCTACACACCCCTGTTAAAAATGTCAGGTTAATGTGCTGTAAAAAATGAGCAAAGATAAATCATTTCAGAACTTTTTCCATCTTTAAAAATGTGACCTATCAAACTGTACAACTCAATTGAAAACCAAAATAATATGGGGGGTTGCATAAGTGTTGCACACCCTCCGATAACTGGGGATGTAGCGGTGTTCAGAATAAGCAATTACATTAAAAATCATGTTAAAACAGGAGTCAGTACACACCTGCCATCATTGAAGGTGCCTCTAAAGTTCAGCTGTTCTAGTAGTGTTGCCTGACATTTTCTTAGTCACATTCTACAGCAAAAGCCCATGGTCCTCTGAGCGCTTCCAAAGCATCAGAGGGATCTCAATTGTTAAAAGGTATCAGTCAGGGGGGGGGGGCGCTCGTGAGCAGCAGCACCTCCGTAGGATGGCTGCCTATTTAATTGGGAGGGGGTACTGTCTCGGCCGCCGGACACATCGGTGCCGATTTTCTGACCCTCAGGGGGGTCCCCTCCGCTTCCTCCCTGGCCGCCCTGTCCTTCCAGCACCCTGATGGGGAAGAAAACCCCGGCCCCACCTACGCGCACCTCCAGACACACGTCCGGCGGACCGTTCGGGAGGTTGCGGCCACCCGCCGGAGATCGCAGGGTTGAAGCCGCGGCCTCGATTTTAGTAGCCGGCCGCCGGAGGCTTCCAGGACCCCCGGCCGCAGGATTCGTGGTTTTTCCCGCCCCGGACAACAGCTGAAGCCCTGGCTGCAAGTTTGGGTCCCCTGCCATCACTACCTGCAGGTGAGATGGATCCTGGCAGTGGGGAGGACCTGGATTTCCCGAGCCATCCCAGCGCTTGCACATTCCATCCCCTGTGGGATGCCGAGCTCCTGCGCCGCTTTAAAAGTATGCTGCAAACAGAATTGTCCTCCGCTACCTCCAAGCTGGCCGACCGTCCTTTTCGCGGGAAAATTCGGGATTTGGACAATCAGGGTACGAATGATCTCGAGAGATAAAATGGACGCTGCGGCACAGTCATTGAAAATCACGAACAGGAACCTGTGCGACCTTAAGAAGGAATTGGCGGACGCACTACTGCGGCTTGAGGATTTTGAAACCGTTCCCGCCGTGGCAATTTGCGGTTAAGGGGTATTCCGGAAACGGTCACGGATCTTACCTCCACTGCTACTCATACTGCTCTGTTTCAGGAGCTGACACCCACTATTCCCATTGACCGGCTCGAATTTGACCGCATACATCGTTCTTTGGGCCCCAGACGACCATGGGCCCCCGAGGGACATTGTCATCAAGTTTACTTATTACCGCACTAAGAAACTATCCTCTTGGCGGCCAGAAATAACCCTGATCTTAGCTTCCAGGGGCACCGCTACCAGACTTTTCGCGGACCTCTCTCAGACCACTCTCCAGAAGCGACGCCAGTTGAAGCCCTTCACCTCGGTCCTGGTGAAACACAGAATTAAATATGCCTGGGGCTTTCCGTTCCGCCTCACCTTCACCTACCAGGGCCGCAGTCATTCTGTGGCTACGCCGGAGGAGGCCCATTCTCTCCTGGAATCTCTACATCTTCTCTCGCCGGAAGCTGCTGATCGGAGCCCGGCTCATTCCTCTGGATCCTCGGCAAGGCCTCTGCCCCTCTGGGCCGCATCTTGGGAGCGGTCGTAACCAACAGGAGGGGGGCTCTCCCTCACAGACCCCATCGCGATCAAGTCCTTCCTGTTCTTCTCCAGGCTGAAAAGATGCGCCTTGGAACTCCCACATATCGTCTCACCGAGGGACTACCCTGACGAGATTGTGATTTTGGCCCTTAGGGCCTCCCCCCGGTTTTGTCGACATTCTAGGTTGAGACTGCTCCGGCTTGCCCTTTTGGGTTTCATCCCGGGTTGGGGGGGGGTCTCTTCCTGGACTTAGGAATCGGGGACTTTTTGCTGCCCAGCAGCCTGTTTTGGGTCCATGTGATGGTGCTTGGGTCTACGTTTGTGGCATTGGGTGATGGTTCCCTTGGGCTCCGGGGTGGGGAGGTTGACCCGGTGGGCCTGGTTGGGTGGAGGGGGGTTGGCCCCTGTGGTTCTCTGGGTTTCTATGGGGAAGGTCGTCGCGGAGGTTCCTGCTCCTGGGACTTTTAGTTTATTATTAAGATTTACTATATTCTATTATGTACAATTGCCTTTTTGCCCCCTGAGGGCTTCTGTTTTGATGTTTCCATTTGCAGCCATGTGTCCGGTGGTAGAGTTACCCCTAACTGTATCCTTCATGTTTAGGATGCACGTCACCATTGGGGTGGTGACACGATTGCACTGTTGTTGTATACTTTTTGTGTCTTTTTTTTTTTTTCTTTTCTTTGTTCTTCTCTTTTTTCTCTGTTTTTTTTTTGTTTTGTGTTTTCTGCAGGGTTCCGGGACGCCATGATCCGATCGCCATTGGGAGTGGAAATTGCTGGCTGCTTTGGGCTTTTTTCTGCTGAGCGTGTTGCGTTGATACCGCCATGGCCTCACCCCTTTTGAAAATACATTCACAAAATGTTCAGGGCTTCAATTCGCCTCAGAAACGGACTAAAGTTTTTCATCACCTCAAGTCGCAACAAATAGATGTGGTATGTCTACAGGAGACCAGGTTTTCTCAGTCCTCCGCTCCGCGTTATCTTTCACCTCACTATCCCATCTTTTACACGGCCTCGGCTCCTGAGAAGCGTCGGGGTGTTCTGATAGCTTTTAAAAAACGCAATCTCCCTTTTGTCTGTGCTCGGAATATAGCGGACCCCACGGGCAGGTATTTGCTTCTGCAAGGCACCCTCTGGGACCAGGAGGTTACCTTTGTCTCTTACTACGCGCCTAACCGTTTCCAGCATAAATTCTTTTCGCATCTTTGCACCATTATTTCTCGACACTCTAAGGGTCTTCTTCTTGTTAAAGGGGGATTCGAATGTTACCTTAGATTCCACACTGGATAGGCGCTACGCACAAGGAGCGACCCCCTCTCATGACTTGGTGCTGGAGGAACGTATGCGCTCTCTTTTGCGGACGGCGGGGCTAGCGGACGTCTGGAGGGAACTTCATCCAACTGAACGCGACTTTACGTTCTATTCTAACCCTCATGACAGTTTTTGTAGAATTAATCATATATTCATGCAGGTCCAGCAACTCCCCTCGGTCCGGCGGATAACTATTCCCTCCTCACCCTGTCAGACCATGATCCTTTGGTACTCCTCCTTGCCCTTTCCGGGTCAGAACACGCCCCTTTTCATTGGCGCATCAATGACTCTTTACTGACCACTCAGGCTACCTGCCAAGAAATAGAATTCTTCTTACGGACATACTTTACGGAAAACTTGGGATCGTCTCTTCAGCAGTGCCCCTATGGGAAGCGCATAAGGCCACGGTGCGGGGTCATGTTATACAGCTGGCTGCAGTCCGGAAGCGGGAGCGGGAATGTCGACTCTCAGAGCTTCATTCTCTCCTGGCCTCTGCGGATGCGCGTTGGAAGTCATCTCCATCCGTGGCCCATAAACGCGCTCGGGACGCTCTGGCGACAGAATTGGACCTCCTTGCCTCTTCGGAGGCGGAACGGGCCTTGCGTTGGACCAAACATAAATTCTATTCCTGTGCTAATAAGCCCGGTCCCATGCTAGCCAGGAAACTCAATTCTGTGGGGAAACCCCATAAACCGATTCGGCTTCGACTTTCCACGGGTGGCTGTACTTCTAATCCCCAGCAGATTGTTTCCCGATTCTCGGACTTCCTTTCGCGCCTCTATGCTGCCCCAGATCCCTTCCCTGTGGCCCAGGCAGAGGCATTCTTTCAGGACCTCCATCTTCCTGGATTAACCGAGGCAGCACAGGCGGCCCTCAACGCAGGTGTCACCGTACCGGAAGTGCTACAAGCAATCAAATCTTTACGGTCCACCGCGGCCCCAGGTCCAGACGGCTTCTCCGGTCTCTATTATAAAAAATTCTCAGCCCTATTGGCGCCTTTTTTTAGCTGCCTACTTTAATGAGTTACGACAGGGCTCCTTTGCCCTCTCCGGACGCACTTAGGGCACATATCTCTATGATTCCTAAGACGACCGCTGATGTCCAGGAACCGCAAGCCTTCCGGCCCATCTCTCTTCTTAATGAAGACTTAAAATATATTGGGCAAGATCCTTAGTTTTCGCATCAATAAATATTTGTGTAGCCTGGTCCACAGGGACCAAGTAGGGTTCGTCCCCGGGAGGCAGGCGGGTGATAATGTCCGTAAGGTGGTCCATCTTATACATTTTCTGCAACAACGGAAAATCCCAGGATTCTTACTGTCCTTGGACATATATAAAGCTTTTGATTCTCTATCCTGGGAATATCTGCGGTTTGTGCTGTCTCGCTGGGGTTTCGGGGATTCTATTCTCTCTTGGATTCAAGCCTTGTATTCCTTTCCTTCGGCTTCCGTTAAATACGCTGGGTATTTCTCGGATCCCTTT